CTGCATAATTAACAATTAAGTAATCAGGTATTTATAATTTAATTATTTTATTTATACAGATTTTGTTGCATTTAATGTATTATTTGACTTGAAAAAACAAAAACACTTAATCACAACACTTATTTATCTATGTTAGTCATTTTATCAATTCATTGTTATAAGTTAATTGATTAGCCAAATAATTTAATGTTGGTTTTTTTGTCAGATTTAATAATTTCTTTAAAAAAAAAATTTTTTTTTATGCAAAATGTTATTTTATTTATTAATTATTTATGTATTATGTATTATTTAATTAACTGCATAATTAACAATTAAGTAATCAGGTATTTATAATTTAATTATTTTATTTATACAGATTTTGTTGCATTTAATGTATTATTTGACTCGCAGTTTCCATTTTGACATTTTGGACTACATTAAAAAATCATGTGTAGAAACAGTTTTCACTCAGAAATTGCGGTATTTTAAGGTGTCCCTGTTACACATGTCGCATGTACTTACTATTATTATAACAATAAATTGTGCATTATTACATGCAAGTAACTCTAAACCAAACCCTAATCCTAACCCTAACCATATAGTAAGTACATGTAGTTAATTAATATTACTCCGTACTTAAATGTATAATTACACTGTAACAAGGACACAAAATAAAGTTTAACAGAAATTGCTAGCAAATTTCACAACCAATAACAAAGAAACAGCGAGTAGCATTGAATCAAATATGCAACTTTGAAATAGAAAATACTCTTCTTGAGTATTCTTGTAAAATGCACTCCAGTAAACTCTTTTATTTACAACTTCTAAAAATCATGTTTTACAGTGTACTGTTTTTTGTCTATCGACAGAAAAGCAAGATGAACGTCGGTGTGGCCCACAGTGAAGTCAACCCAAACACCCGTGTGATGAACAGTCGAGGGATATGGCTGACTTATGCGCTCGGCGTAGGAATGCTTCACATTGTACTGTTGAGCATTCCTTTCTTCAGTGTTCCTGTTGTGTGGACCCTCACAAATGTTATTCACAATTCCCCCACCTTACCTAATTTTTTACTGAGGGGGCCTGGAACACCCCAACCCCCCAACCCCAGAAAAGCAAATGCCCCACCAGTTTGGCACGGACTCTGCTTTTCATTAATAAAACTTGAATATGCGTTTAGAAGATCAACCAAAGTCATGCAGGTTTGGAATGACTTGAGGGTAAGTAAATGACAGAATTTTATTTTTTGGGTGAACTATCCCTTTAATATTAAGAGGTCCCATTGTTACGACATTTGAGAATGGGTGTGGCCCACAGTGAAGTCAACCCAAACACCCGTGTGATGAACAGTCGAGGGATATGGCTGACTTATGCGCTCGGCGTAGGAATGCTTCACATTGTACTGTTGAGCATTCCTTTCTTCAGTGTTCCTGTTGTGTGGACCCTCACAAATGTTATTCACAATTTTGTAAGTGTCCCTTGTTGAATAATCCTTTGTTCTATCCCATTTCGTTCCCCTGTCTATGGGTTGTCATTTTCTCAGTGGTGCCCCGAGGCCAGTTGGAGTCTCGACAATTGATGCTTCCTTAGTAGTCTGTGTGGCATTGTTATGTAAGGACTCGCTCGCACAAAGATTCAAGGTCAACAGCATGACATCACCAACCAAGTTTAAGCTCTCTGGCACATGATGATGTATGACAGCTTGCGCCACAATGATAAAGGGATGGGATACTGTAATGTTTCTGTTGTCCTGACATGGAAGACAAATTTAGTAAGTGTAAGCGATAGGAGGGAAGGATGATCACACTTCTATATTCCAAGTCTTCCGAAGTTATATGATAGCCTTCCAGGAAAAAATAGAACGATTTAAGTCATTGTTCATTAATAATTTTTGTCTCCACTAAAGCTCTCAAATCTCATCTGCAAAGAGATTTTGAGACTTGTTAAAGTCAGGGTTAGTATAGTTAACTATACTAATCTTGAAAAAAAAGAAAAAAAAAAGTTGTTTGTCCATACAGTCAAAGTGAGTAAGGTCCCGTGTTGTTCTGAAACGCTTTGACTTTCATTCTTCATCTATCCATTTAAGCGTAAAAAGATAAGTTCATTTACCCAAAAATGACAACCCTGTCATCATTTACTCACCCTCATGTCATTCCAAACCCAAACTTTGGTTAATCTTTGAAATACAAATTAAGATATTTTGATTGAAACCTGAGAGCTTTCTGTCCCATAATTGAAAGTATCTAAAACTTAGAAGATCAAGAAAGGTCATAAAAGTTGCTTTATATGATGAACAAGTCTAATTTAGGCTTTTATAGACATAAATGCATACATGTGCATCACATATGGCAAGCAAAGAAGCTTGATGCTGGGGTTTGGTTTGCTCTGTATGTGTGTTGAGCACTGTTTAGATGTAAATTAATGCCTAAATTAAATCTGATCATCATAGAATGTGTTCATATCTTTTCACGACACTTGAATTAAGCCACTCAAATCCCATGGATTCGTTTTATGATGCCTTTATGACCTTTTTAGATCTTCTAAGTTTTGGTTACATTGAGTTTTAATGGAGGGACAGAAACTTTATCACGTTTCGTCAATGTCTGCGCCACGAGTGACTCTGCTTTTCATTAATAAAACTTGAATATGCGTTTAGAAGATCAACCAAAGTCATGCAGGTTTGGAATGACTTGAGGGTAAGTAAATGACAGAATTTTATTTTTTGGGTGAACTATCCCTTTAATATTAAGAGGTCCCATTGTTACGACATTTGAGAATGGTTTAACATTTGGATCATCTTTCTATCTTCCCGCAGGGTATGTATGTGTTTATGCATGCAGTGAAAGGGACACCATTTGAAACACCAGACCAGGGCAAGGCAAGACTTCTCACACACTGGGAACAGCTGGACTACGGCGTGCAGTTCACATCATCTAGAAAATTCTTTACAATCTCACCAATCATTTTGTAAGTTATTTTTGCCATCTTTTGCACAACGTTTACCCTCTCAAAGAAATGTTTAACATAGGTGATACAGGTTTTTAAATTGCTCTTTTATACTTTTTAATCTTGTTACTCACCATGAAAATGTCAAAGAAAGCTGGACTGGTGTTAAAACGCCAACCAACCAATTGCACAATATTTTGAACTAAATATAAAAATCAATAAATTAACTTTTCTGATCTGAAATGTTACCTAAATGTGAATGGTGAATATTAGACATATTTTGGTAATTAAAGACCTTTATCATATAAGATCCTGTACTTATTTTTAAGTGTGTAACACTTGTTCTTTTCTTTGCAGGTATTTTCTCGCCAGCTTTTACACTAAATACGACACCGCTCATTTTGTGATAAACACAGCTTCGCTTTTGAGTGTTCTTATCCCAAAACTGCCACAACTCCATGGAGTCAGGATCTTTGGAATAAACAAGTATTAAGCCCAGTGTTCAGAGGGCACAGACCAACTCGGAGCTGTTGCCTGATGTGGGAGAGGAGATAACCCTTTGTACTTTGTACCGCAGTTGTGTACACTTAGCAGTTTTGTACAGTCTGTGTAATTGTGAGTCTCTTTGTTTGATATATCTTGAGAAATTGTTGTAGGGACAAGTTAGGAGGACAATTCCACAAGCATTAATAACTTAAGATATTTAATGTGTTTTCCTTAGTTGTTTTGTGATCCTCGTGGATCTGGGCTGGCCCAGGTTTCATGGTTAATTTCTTTTTCCGTTAATTAGTTTTTGTTTGTTCAAATGTGCTCACAACACTGATACACTAATATAGTTTTATGCTTTTAGCGTCACTTCACATTTCTGAATACATTCATAGATAATTCCATGAATTGACTAAATGTGTTTTTAAAATCCATGAAACCTTTCTGCTGTTTCGTTAATGTTATCATTGCTTCAGAGACAAATAAAAAGTCAGTTTGCATGACTTCCTGAAAAATATTTGTTCATCACAATACTATGTGTACTTTTTGTTTAGTTAATGTCTTACAGCTTATAAGTGACAATGAAAAATATTAACATTAACAAAACTTTTAGGCTTTTAAGTACAGAGTCGACATGAAATCAAAAATAGAACTTTCTTAATTTAATACATATTTCTGGTCTCATTTTGCACATTTTATTGGTGTACATTATTTCAAAGAACATTTCCTTATAGATTTTGAACTGCTTCCTCTGCCCTGAAACAAAACATCAAGTTCTTCCCTACATTTTTTCATCTTACGTTTGAATCAGAATATTTCATGTTGACTTTTAGCTCAATTTCAGCATGTCATTTTAAATGTCTGGATCATTACCAAGCTTCAGCAAACCGTCATGTTTCTTTGCTCTTTTCTGTCACAGTATTATTGAAGTTGAGAAACTGTAACATAGACCCATTAAACTATTTGTATTCTTCCACTTTCTTGTCTTTTGACAATATTCGCGAAGGCTCGACTGTGCCAATTGTTTTGTCCATTTGTTTTGAGAAAAGGAATGAACATAGTATGTGGTGTGTTGCATGATATGCAGCAAACAAATAAAACTTTGCAAAGTATTAGAAACGCTGTTGTTCACTAGAAAAATGAATTGTGTGAAATATAAAATACATTTAATGTAAATCATAAACTCGTACAATCATAAACACCACTGTTCAAAAAGTTGAGGTTGGAAAGATTTCCTAAATATTAAAAAAGTTTCTTTGCTCACAAAGTCTGGATTTATTTAAACAAAAATACTGTAACATTTTTGAAATATTTGTATATATTAAAATAACTGCTTTCCATTTTATTATATTTTAAAATGTAATTTATTCCTGTGATGTCAAAGCTGAAATTTAAGCATCATTACTCCAGTTTTCAGTGTCACATGATTCTTCAAAAATCATTCAGATATGCATATGTGGTGCTTATCAAACATTTCTTACTCTCAATGTTGGAAACTGTTGTGCGGATCAATGTGTCACATATAAGACACGATTTGATTGTCTGATAAATTGAATATGAAATTTAAAGGTAGACAACAATTTTTAATACTTTTTATTATGGGCTTAAAAAAACATTTGCTGTAGTTAGAAATGTAAAAACAATTAAAATGTCATCATAAATGTCAATGTAATATTGCCTCTAATTATTAAAAAAAAAAAGACTTTTTGTGTAAAGCCTCACATGCATTTAGCATCACACCTTTAAACACTTCAAAGTGATGATTTAAATCTTTTTGGCAGTGAATTTTATACTTGGTTCCCAAGGCACCATCTGCAGAGGGCCCTCCATAAAACACTCTGTTGATTCTTGAGTGCACCAAAGCCATTGCACACATCATGCACGGCTCTCGAGTGACGTAAAGATCATATCCGGTGCAGATGTAAGGCAGACCGGTTTCTTTGGCATTGCAAGCATTCCTAAAGGACTCGGAGCTGCTAAACCGACAGGCTGGATATTTCTCGTAACTGTAGGTGCCTCCTCCTTGCCCACAGGCCACGAGATCAATACAGACCATGACAGCGTGATGGAGCGGATGAGAGCCGTGCTTACAGTCATGACCCACTGCAACAATCTGCTCCGATTCTGGGTCAACAATCACTGCGCCCACCGCATCCATTCCCATCTTCCCGCCTGATTTTGCAGCCTCTACAGCTGCCGTCATGTACTTTTGCATTTTAGCTTTCTGATCAGCAGTGAATAACTGGCCTCTCAGAGCAGACGTCACTTGTTTGTCCTCGTGAAATGACGTAGGCCAGTGTTTACTAGCTTTTTCAAACTGCGGTCTGGTTAGTGGAGGATTGGCGGGTATTTCGACAAGGAAAGGTTCTCCCAAACCACTGGAGTCAAAAGACTGTGAGCAAAGCAGATCAGCAAGCGTAACTCCTTTGCAGTCTATCACCTGCACATCCCTGGCCAAGCACACAATGACCTCCAATGGATGAGAAGTGCTTTTGTCTTTGCAAGCCCTCACTCTTTTTATGTGCTGCAGACCGGGTAAAGGGTAGATCAGGGAAAGCTCTTTGACCAGGCGAGATGTTTGTCTTTTCTCGACGATAGGTGCCGCGTAGGCCAGCAACAATTCAGTGTCCCGGGACTGTTTGTCAGAGAGAACTGGAAGAACATCCCAAGTGTCATATCTGTCCATTTCTTTCCTTCTTTTGGCTTGTGGCTCCATCTTGTTCTATTCATTTAATAGACTGTCAGGGGTTTCCTGATGTCATCTGTAGAAGCAGAACGTGACAGTAAAAGTTATACTGACTGAAAAACTGTCTGAGACTCAAAATGTCCTCATCGATATAGTTAAATAAATCCATAACAAAAAACGTATGTTATTTGAAATAAAATGAGCTTTCTCGTTTTCATTTAGTTTAACATAATGTACTAAAATAATTACACTAAAACTGAAATAATATATATAGACATAAAAAACTAATACAAATGACAAAAATACACACAAAACAAAATAAAAAACTGAAAATAGCCAAAGAAAATAAAACCTTATTCAAAATATTAAAAACTATAAACGTATCTTAATCATACTAAAATAAAAGTCATGCACATTGTAATACAGAGATGTATCTAAATGTATAGTGTAAAAAAAACATTGTAATACATTGATACTATTGTAACTTTTTTTTGTAAAAAGTGGAACAAAAAATTATATATATAATATTATATTATACATACGTATATATATAGAGAGAGAGAGAGAGAGAGAGAGGCTATATCAATGTCAACTACCACCCCCCAAAATAAATAATTATATATATATATATATATATATATTTTTATTTAACGATATATATATAATATATATATATATATATATATATATATAAATATGTATATATATAATATTTTTAAGAGCCTATATATATTTTTAATATTTAAAACACAGAATGAATTAATTTAAATTTATAAATACACGTGCAGCTGATAGACCTTTACCTTATTTGGAGGAAACAATGGACTTTAATAATCAAATAAGTTAGAAATTGTCCAACTACCTTCTTTATAGCAGCCAAGTGTGAAGAAGTCATCTTGTGTAAAACATCTCTCCCATGTGAGTCTTGATCCCTCCTGTATTATTATCCCATTGGAAACAAGAGCAAGCGATAATGGTTCCGTTTTGCTCTTTATTTTAGACTTATAAGTCGTTTAGCTATGATATTATTATTAACATACTTATTTATTCATCAAGTGGGTATAGACATCTGTTTTTCTATAATACTATTTATCATTTTCATCTTAAAGAAAGTCTAACGGAACCCAACTTTACGTATGTTGTGAGTAGGGTGTATTTATAAGTAACGCCTTGATCATACAGCCTCATAAATTAAGTTTTACAAGAAAATACAAGTGCAGTGTTAGCAGTGTTTTCGAGTCGCTTGAATTGTTGAAGCGTATGTATCCTTTCAGATTACCGTCGAGTTAAATCAACCAGTGAAATCGACAGTGAAGCGTCAGTGTTATCAGCATGTTCCCGTGCGCTCTGAATGAAGCGGCTCGCTTCTGGATGAAGCACTGCACGTCCCGAAGAGCCTTCAGTACACTGCGCTCTCGGTTCGTTTTGGGGATTGAGACGAGCTGCGACGAGACCGGGGCGGCTGTGCTGGACGAGACTGGAGTGATTTGGGGAGAATCTCTGTATTCTCAGAAAAAGACACACCTGGAGTAAGAATAGCCACTGACTTCATAAATGTCCTCAGTTGATGCATAGAGTAACACTAATCACATATTTTCATGATCCTAACGGAACAGTTCTCTCAAAAGGCCATTCTGTTGTCATTTATTTACCATCACAGTGTTCCAAAAAAAAAAAAGAAAAGAAAAAAAATCATCATGAGTGGTCCATGTGACTTGTGTATTTAAAGCTGTTTTTATAATTTTTTAATTGATTTTTTTATTTTTTAAATTTTAAAGTTTTAGTTCTGTTAACTGCTTTTGTCATTTTTATTCATTTTTTAAAAATATTTACATGTTTTATTTATTTTTATTCAATGTTAGTTTAAGTCATTTTAGTACTTCAACTTTAACATTTTATTTCACTTAATTGGCAAGGCAGCATTTGTAATTTTTATTTAAGTTTTTCATCTAATATTTATATTTTATGTCGGTCTTGTTTCAATCCACAAAACACAGTTTTTAATAGTCTTCGTTTTTATTTAACAAAAACAACACTGACTTCACATCTTAAGCTATACTGTAGCTTTAAGAAACAGATAAGTAAAGTCATTATTCACTGAAAATAACAGCTGTAGTAACTATTCACTGTCATTGTATAGAAAAAAAAAACCAGCTCGGATATTCTGCTATTATTTTATTTCTATATCATTTTACTTGTTTGTGAGAAGAAACACTTTTTAATTTTCACACTGGAAGTTGGCAGGCTTTTAGTTAGTAGTGCTAGTAATGGATTAGTATGTTGATTTTATATACCTAAACTACTAAATTAGAATATTTGTTTGTGAATTCTCTCATCCAAATCAAAATTTTAGTACGTTTTTGTAACTTTTTGTTTTGTTTTCATAAATGTAGGTCATTTTCAGGTCAGGACTATGTATGCAAATTCCAAAAATAGCAAAAAGGTGATTAAAAATATACAGTTTTATATACATAAGGTAAGGATAAAAAATGACTGCTGAATTATGGTGCATTTAATTTCATTTGTTCTCTTACAGTGCGGGTGGAATTATCCCAACTGTGGCCCAACGCCTACACAGAGAAAACATCTCTAGAGTTGTCCAGGAGGCCTTGGACAGAAGTGGCATTGAACCCAGTGAACTCACAGCTGTGGCCACAACAGTGAAGCCTGGTCTCGCCCTTAGCTTAGGGGTCGGCTTGGATTTCAGTCTGAAGTTTGTGAGACTTCACGAAAAGCCGTTCATCCCTATACACCATATGGAGGCACATGCCCTCACTGTAAGAATGCTACACCCCGTAGACTTCCCTTTTCTCGTGCTCCTTGTCTCGGGGGGTCATTCTCTTCTTGCACTGGCCAAAGGAATAGATGAATTTCTTCTTCTGGGGCAAACACTGGATGTAGCAGCCGGGGACACTTTAGATAAGGTACAGTATCAGGATATCACATCCGTTTCAAATACAAGGAAAGCAGTAGGATGTTTATAATATAAACTGTTTATCTTTCCTTTCAATGACAGATTGCTAGAAGACTTTCTCTTAGGAATCACCCAGAGTGCTCGACTTTGAGCGGTGGACAAGCCATAGAGCTTCTGGCGAAAGAGGGGGATCGACTCGCATTTCATTTCAAGTCACCCATGGGGCAGCTCTACGACTGCAATTTCTCTTTTGCTGGTTTGCGAAACCAGGTGACAATGGCAATAAACAAAAAAGAAAGAGAAGAAGGTACTTTATCTATTCCTTTAAAATAAAAGAAACAGGTTCTTTTCCAAAAGCTTTTGAGCTGCCTACATAGACTTTTTAGGCAGCATCTGGACTGAAATGGCAGCTTATAAGTGACTGATTTGAAAAACGGTAAACAGGCAGCAACTCTGCATATGATGCAAATATCTCTTCTCATTTGAAGTACACAGGAGACTTGACTATTAATTGGCATTAACATGCTGACACCAATTAATTGGAATAGCAATGCAATAGTCTAATAAGGCTATAATCAGTATATATATTGTGTGTACAGTCCTAACCAGTTATTATATTACCGTAATGTTATATTTCCTCAGGTGTTGAAAAAGGACAGTTATTATCATGTGTTAAAGACATCGCTGCTGCCTCACAACACACTGTGGCGTCTCACATAGCCAAACGAACACATCGTGCCATTTTGTTCTGTAAATCCAAAGGTCTTCTACCACAGCATAATCCAACCCTGGTAAGTTCTCAGCACTCCAGGACCTGGTTGTGGCATTTCATTTTAAAATTAACTCGAGCTTGGCTTAATCATTTTACAATATTTAAAAACTTCAACCAATAAATGCCTGTGGTGAATTGACATTTGGTAAAAATTCCACTCCAGACTTTCTATCCCAACCAAAAATCTACTCTTCCACTTTTGCACCTTTGTAGGTTGTTTCCGGAGGAGTAGCAAGTAATGAATACATCAGACAGACTCTGAAAATTGTCACAGATGCCACTGGATTGCATCTGCTTTGCCCTCCGACAAAATTTTGCACTGATAATGGAGTGATGATTGCATGGTAAGAGCATAAAAATGGTGCATATTGCCTTACAGCCTTGTTGACATGTATAAGACACTGACTTTTGTTCCTCACTATTGTTGTTAGGAATGGCATAGAGAGACTAAAGCAAAGAAAGGGGATCATGTCCTATACCGAAGAGGTCAACTATGAACCGAAGTAAGTTAAAATGACATGTGCTTTGCTAGTAAATATATTGGACTTATTTACATTTTCAGTGCATGTTTCTGGTCTTATTGTGCACAATTTATCGGTTAATGTCATTTCTAAGTTTTAAAAAAAGTTTGTCTTTGTAATCTTTCATCAAATAAAATATATATTTTAATTGAGTGTTTTTGTAACGTTTATATTTTAAAATCATGTATTTATTTATTTTTAGTTGACATTTTTAAGATTTAATTATTAGCTTTCCATCAACTCAAAAACCCCACTTTAGGAAACTCTGATGTAATGTGATGTTTAATGCACGTCTTGTTGTTGATAACAAAGAATGGAATATATGTTGTTTCTCTTTATATTTTTGACAGTGAGGTACAAAATAATCCTTTTCAAATCTTAGGTCAAAAGTTATCAAAAAGTAGTCCAATTAGATTACCAGAAATGTGTAATCTAATAGATTACATTTCTAATTTTCATCATATAGTTTGTGACCAGTAACAGACAGTTTGTAAGTAATCTACCCAGCACTGATTGTATATGATAGGAGTCTGTTTTGATGTCATGAAATTTTTCATTCATTTTAGGGCACCACTTGGATTAGACATCACTTCAGAAGTGAAAGATGCTGCAATCAAACTTCCCCCATTAAAACTGAGGATAAACTCTTGACATGCTGTTAAAGGGGCATCTCCTACTTATTAACAAATTATTATTTATTTAAAGAAATTTAAATGTTTGTGTTTTGCAAATGCTTTAATTCAAAGTTTATGATGTTATTTCTTTTCAATCGCCTTTTGGTGTGAACGGCAGTGCCGGAGATCATGACCTTTCATGTATTTTCATTCAACCTCTGTTTTGGGGCACTGTGGCAGGACATCTGTCCCGTTCTGACTCTGGGGTTGGCGGTTCTGGCCCTCTGTCTTACATGGTGTGGCAAAGGAGCTGGTGTTTCTCTGTCACCGATTGCTGACTGACTACACCTATCGTTCACTCTCTTTGCCAGTCCTGGTAAGAAATGATATAGCGCAAACAGCTGTATGTGAGAGATATTCCTCATTGCCTTAGCCAGCATCACAATATCACTCTGTCATAAATCAATTGAAATACCTTTATTATCACGATGAGGCACAGGAGGGCCGCCATTTATCTCCAAACTGCAATGGAGAAAAGAGAAAGAAAACAAATTATGCTTGTGAATTATCAAAGGCCTCATATTCAGCTACTTCCTGACTAAATTTAAAGCACCTGAGAGACGGCAACCCTATTCTTCTCTGTCTTTCAAACTCTGCTGTAAAGAATTGCGATATTCTGGCATCTTTAGCTAAATTCTCCATTAGGAGGTCATATATGTGAGGGTATTTTCTACATTTGGCCAGAAGCTGTCGATGAGCATATCGATTGGAGGTCAGGTAACCCAGAGCACTTGCACAAGCTGTTCGAACCTAAAATGTAGGAAGGAATAATAGTTTCAAAAATCCTAGAAATACTGTTTTAAGCACTTATTTTTGTTGACTGGGAAACATTGCATTAGCCAATTAAACACAATCAACCTCTTCATTCTCTGAGTCCAGATGAGCAGAAAGATGCTCTACAGCACCCATGGTGACCATCGCATTAGTAATACCTGCTCTTGTGTGAACCAGGCTAGCAAGTAGTTGTGCTGGAGTAAGACAAGATGAAATGTTACACAAGATTATTTTCTCATTTATATATATATATATATATATATATATTACAATTCAAAG